AGGGAGTTGTCTTGAACGAAAGGATAAAACGTCTCGTCGGAAGAAAAAGCCAAAATGTCTAGGGCTATCTATTAACGAACGAAGACTAGAGGGTTAAAGAGACTTTCAGTATTTAAATTATATTATAATTTGTATTAAAAGGTTTGTGAAGNACTTTCAGTATTTAAATTATATTATAATTTGTATTAAAAGGTTTGTGAAACACATACTTTCGGATGAAAGATTCACTTCTGGTGACAGCTGTTTGACGAAAACCTCAGTTAAGATTCACGGACAAAAGTTTTTGAAACTAATTAAAGTTTTTATAAACCATTTAAGGTTACGTGTGTATCATAATACTGTAAATACCTAGAAAGAAAAAAACAACAAAGAAACTAACTCGTTAATACAAAAAGAGTCTTATTACTTCAGAAAAAGTATTACCATAACAAAGCAGAAGATTTTCTGAAATTCAATTGCGATCATTGGCAATCTGTTACTGTCATTTTTTAAATATTCCTTTTCTGTAGTTATACTTTTATTAATTTATACTTGATAAAAAAAAATCCATTTCNAATTTATACATGATAAAAAAAAATCCATTTTGCCGAATGCGACAACGGTTTAAAATCGAATGAGGGTTGATTTAAAAAAAAGAGAAGGTCCCTCACAGTCGACGGTTATGTAAAAGTATATTGTCAGACGAAAACAGACTTTTTTGCATAATTTATCGAAGAAGACATTCTGAGTAGTCTGCAAACCATATTTGCTTTTTTATTAGGTAAACTAAGAGGCAATCGAAAATAAACAAAAAAAATACTTTGTCGTTCAATACAGCGTTTATTGGAATTTATATTGAAAAATATCGAAGAAAATGACAAAAGCAATGCGGTGATGATAATAATATGTGCACAGTCAATTTAATAACAAGCATGAATATAAAGCTACAACAGTATCAATGACATAATATCTACGGTTCAAAAAGACGAGATAAATGTTATTTGATTTCTTTATTTTCCCCTGAATGTTATTACATGATTTTTGTAGCTGTTTCGTCAAAAGGCATCAATAAAACGTTGACAAAAATACGTGAATTACTGAAATAGTTTTACGTTTACATATTTTTGTTACGAAAATAATATATCCTTTGTTAGTAATACTGAATATATATTTTTTTCAGAATGTTTTGGTTATCAGCCGAAATTCACCGAGCCGATCGGTAACATCACAGTACCAGTAGGACGAGAAGCTATGTTTACATGTTATGTTCACAATTTAGGAGGCTATAGAGTAAGTAACAATTTCAATTACATTTTTATAAATACCACGTAAAAATATTATAACTGCCATCGATGCTTTTCTCTCGCACTTAATGATTTACACTATGTATATGGTTTCGGAATTTAAGTATGATTTCGTTTAAATTAAAAGTTCGCATTACTCGTGCGTGTAGTACTGAAATGATTTTAGGCACTTGTATAATTCAACAGTTCATTAAATATTGTACACAAATCAAGTGTAATCGACAGTGCGTATATAATTCTTAGAGATTTCACAAATTCCATTAATTGACATGTTTAGATTAAAAGTGATAGTTTTTAGATAATGTTGAGCTTAACTAGTTGACATAAGATAAAAATAATTTTCTGCAGAGGTTGAACTTTCAAACATTTTCCATAATTCAGTCCTAAAATGATTTAGTTATTTACCGTGGCGTTGAAAATAATAATGCTAACAAATACTTTATTTAGTTGATGTACTGTAGTTTTTCTTTTTCGTCATTGTGCATAATTGCGTTTAGAATTATAATTATCTCGTCGTGTGGTGGGTGAAATTATTTTTTATACAAAAAAGTTTATAATTGATACCTGCGAAGCGTGAAAACAACTTAGATAAACCTATTAAAATATAAACAACGCAAAATAAAATGAACAGATGTTCTTTAATTCGGCGTATTATTTTCAATCTTATTTTACTCGGCGAAAAAAAAAAAGGTTTTTGTTTCAAAAGAAATTGTTTTCAAAATGATTTTGTTTATATCAATAAGTGTACTGGCGAGTATGCGGACTTGCAAATAAGGGATGCCCTACTACGGTGGGGAGTCAAAGTAACACATGTATAATAACAGTGCAGCGTTGCAGTATAGTCAGTTGGATATATTATTTCCGACCAGGTACATAGTTATTATTATTTTGAACTTGTTTTGTATGGTAAACGATCAGGACGACCGAGGGAGTCGACGAAATTCCTTGAATACCAAAACAGTCACACGTGTGTTTAGGCGACACATATCATATAAACGGTAAACAAATTATACGAATCCATCTAACGAGGTATTTATGCAACATGACGACTGTAAAAGCATTTTTCGAACGTTTGATTTTTTAAAAAACTTAATAAGTACGTTGAAAATTTGTTTCTATAAAATTATAATAATCATCAAGTTGATAATTTCTAAAAAGAGAGAGAAATCGTACAATATTATCTTTAAAGGAAAATCTCTGCTCTAGTTTAGTGTTCGTAAAGTTCTTCAAAAGAAGAAGTTCGACAAAGTAAAACAATAATATTTCGTTAAGTACGTTGTAAATATCAAGTATTATGTAAAAGTTATTGTTTAAACTGTTTTAGTGAAACAATGATTAAATTTGTTAACAACTTCCTAAAATATATATAAATTACTTTTATATTATATTTTTTAAGTATTAAGAATATATCGTTTTATATTAAATATTTCATATTCCATTTTATAACTCAATTCATTACATGAAACTGATATAGATTTAAGTGTTATTATGAAAAAAAATATACAATTTAGATAGATATTTGCTATATACTGGATTGAAAACAATTACTTAAAACGAAACAAGTGGAATTGTAAAAAAATATTTTATTACTAATGAACTAGTTAAAGTAGTAAAACTAGACGTATACTGGACACCAAAGAAAAAATATATTATGCTTATTAATATTTTCAAAATTCTCGTGTACTGTCTTATACTTTAATATTATCTCTATTTTTCCAACGATTATAATAATAAGAAAAATAGAAATTGCCAAATGCGTTCAATTATAAATATTGGAGTAAATAAATTAGACCATAGTAAACAAATATTATATTCTATGTTTTACCATTAAAAGCTTATGGTAATGATTTAATATTTGATATTATTGTTTTTCTAGAATTAGTTTAGTTAGGGGAAGTGAATTTTTATTACTATTAGTTAATTTCTTTAGTATTTGCTAAACATTAAAGGTTTATGCCTAAGGTACTAAATATTAGAAAAGCATTTTGTTAAAATGTGTCAGGGGCGCGCACGTCAAAATTCAAATGACCGTACAAATGATAGATTGCGTGTCCGTTATAATTACGACAACTTCAGTGACGTTTATATGATTACATAGCATAAATCTCCATTTATTATTAAGCTATTAACTCGGAAGTAGGCGAAATAATTAAGTACGTTATTTATTAATTCTAAAATTTCCATAATGCTCTACTTAATAACTTATTTGTTTTCTTCTCCGTGGCTTAATTGTTGCATGAAATGTTTTTCCATTATGTAAATATACGTATTCTGCAAAATACAGACAAGTTTTGATGCTTTCCATTGAATCAGTCGTTATTTTAAGTAATTGGACTGTTCAGATCCATATAACGAAGAATTATTAAAAAAAAAAATTATAGCACTTGGGGCAAATACCTACTATGAACATTTTCCGGAAAGATTAGTTTAATAACTAGTAGGTCATGAAGTATGTTAAATTGTTGCAGGTTGGATGGGTAAAAGCAGACACTAAAGCTATTCAAGCTATACATGATCATGTGATTACACACAACGCTCGAGTTTCCGTGTCGCATACTGATGATGCAACATGGAATTTGCTCATAAAAAACGTACAAGAAGAAGATCGAGGTCAATACATGTGCCAAATCAATACTGATCCCATGATAAGTCAAGTAATGTTTATTTCCGATAATTACTTCGCAAAACTCATAATGCTGGTATAAAAAATATAAAATTTAATTCCTTATTGTTCTTTGGTTGGGTTGATACATAGTGATTTATATCTCGCTGTGCCCATTTTGTGACTAAGCAGTAGAAGCTGTGCTATGAAAGTTCAAAAATATAAAAAATCCATGGCGGCGATTTCTTTTAAATTTCTAAGTGCTGCTAAATTAATTTGTGCTTAATTTTTAATCGTTATATTTTTTTTTTTAAAGCTTAGGAAGAACAAAGAATCAGTACTATTTTAATGAACTTAGCTATATTTTCTTTTTATTTCCTTTAATTAAAAATAAATTATTACTTTTTAATTTTGTTTTTCTTTATTAACAGATACATAATCTGTTCCAAATAGATACAATAAGAGTATTAGCTAAAATATAAATAAGACATGAATACTTGACAAGAGACGCCACCATTGATGACACTTTTTAATTTAAAAAAGTTTAAATGCATTTATTTAAAACTAAAACCCAAGCTAACTTTTATTTTAAAAGAATTAATACAACTATCTTGAAATTACTGTTAACATATTCCTAATCTATTATAATTATAGTATAATTAAAATTATATACTTCTTCATTAAAGTTGACATTATCTTAGAAAAGATTATTTTTAGTGGGCTTTAATGATTTACCCAAGTAATTTCAATAATTTGTACCCAAACTGGCATACATTTTTCAATTTACATTATTAGTTAAAGACACATAATCGACCAGATTACTTAACACTTTTGTAATAAATGTGTCATAATTTTAAACTTGATTGTATGCAACATAACAGCATAGTATTAAATCAAAACGTGTTTGAGTTAGAAAAAATTAGTTTATTTTTACTTAAGCAACACAGTTCTAATTGTTTGAACGAACCTCATTAAAACCCCTAAACTGTTTTACACAATATTTATTCCACTTGGCTAATTAATTTTTTTAGCCACAATACAAATATGATAAATCAAATCAAAAGTTATTATCAAATAATACTTATTATTTATTAAAATAATTTGAAATTTATCACACTGAAAGTATTGCCAAAACATAACTAATTTTTTCATTATAAATTCCCTTTTAAATAACTTTAATATAATTATCACATTGGCGGCTATAATACACTTTGGTTTCTGTCTTGCAAATATGAGTATAAGTTGATACATGGTAAATAAAGGAGCGATAGCTTTCTAGTCAACCCTATTTCACCTATGGTGATTTAAATTTAAAGTTATATTAAAAATGTTATTTTAAAACTTATAAAATATTTAACTCAAAATAACTTACCTATGAAAAAAAGAAAGTTAACATTTTAATTTTCACACTCTTTAGTGTTATAACTGTTATAGTTTATTGCTTATTTAGGGTTGTTCTATAAATAAGAGATCAGGTTAATTTGTATGAACAACAGAAACAATGGAAAGTCTTTTTACTGCTTATTGAACTACATACATATATGATGTGGTAATCAATTTGTCTTTGATTTTAGATGGGTTATTTAGATGTTGTAATACCCCCTGACATCATTTATGAAGATACATCTGGTGATGTAATGGTGCCTGAAGGTGGTACAGTCAAATTGACGTGTAGAGCTAAAGGATATCCTAAGCCACATGTTCTATGGAGACGAGAAGACGGAAAAGACATAATAATTAAAGATTCAAATAGCATAAAGACAAGAGGTTGGTTGCTAGAAAAATTAAATAATACATTTTTTAGTATATAATACATACTGTTATACAATGACATTATTTTTAAATGTGTTAATTCAAAATATAACATTACATCTCACTTTAAGGCGTTTGAGTACAGACATTTTTTTAGAGGTCAATTATAGGCAATTTTACGGTTTGTATTTGGTGTGCATTGTCGTTGTGTGAGAAGTAAATGATTATTAGAGTATGTGTCTATTATAGGAAGTATTTCCACTGTGTTACAGTCGATAATAAAATAAATTTTGTATACCTGCCTTACTTTTTAATGTGATGTGAATATATTGATTTAATAATGACAATTTTATTACTCATACACACGGCTCATTTTTTCACATATTAATTATTTTTAACCCTGTCCTTTTATAATAACACAGAACAATAGCCAATTTTTGTCTACAATATTTAAGTGAATTTTCTATGAAGTCCGACTTCAGATTTTTTCCGTCATATCTAGTTTTTGAAATAATTACTAATTTTTAATTAAGAAATAAACTATTAGATCAATAAAAAAACTGAAAAATAATTTTTTTTTATGTTCGGAATTGATCCACAGTACCTACGTACAAAGGCTTGTGTTACCGACTGAGATAGGTAAGCTTTGATGGTGTTAAAAATAATCGTACAAAATTTAGAGCTTATCCTTTAAGTTTAACTGCTTCTATAGGCCTTTAAATTTGAGTTAGATAGGAGTTTTTCAGAAAACAACAACCGAATTTTCCACTATAACTATTTTTAGATTAAAACAGAAATACATAAAGATCAAATATTCGGAAAATTTGCAATTTTATTTTCATATGTTTTATTTTGTGTCGATATTTGGCAAATTACGATTAATTACTAGACTAAAAATTTAAAAAACCAACTGAATATTAAAATAATTATTTTAAGATTATAACTATAATGTTTAATCATTAAAAAAGCTAATAATCAAATTCATGTAAATATATATATATATATATCTACAGTATCAAGTATGTATTTATCTGTAACTATTTTTAGGAAGTCAGTTCTGCTCTGCGTAACTCGATGGGCAATAAATTATCAAATTTAAATAACACACAAATGAGAATTAACGTGCCAAATATGGTGCTGCTGTTTGAAAACTATTAGTTTGGACATATAAAACTACCAGTTTTTATTTCATCAGTACGATAACTATACTGATTAAATAAGAATTTTAATAACAACTTTGAATTCAGCATCATGCACTTAAGTATTGGTGTTAGTCCATTTGTTTGAAATTGTGTTAACTTAAACACGAAATTTTAATCTGATAAAAATGAAAATTTTCAAAAATGTAACTAGTACATATGGGTTAAAGGAATGTTTTCAGAGTTCTTATCGCATCAATTGTTCTGTCGTACTGATAGAACAAGAATTAGTAGTTTTTCACAAAAAAACAGTCAAAAACGATAAACCTCTTTAGTTAATGTATTTTTTTTAATTTTAGAGATACTTACTTGCTTACTTTGCTTATTATTTGGGCTTATTAAATTAAAAATCAATACAAATAATAATAAAAGCTTACAGTTTATTTTTTAAATTATATGAATTTATAAAGTTCGTTATTGAAAACGTTCTTGTCAAAAGTATTTTGTCAGATTCTGATAGACTCTAAGCATAGTAGTTGCATTGCCATGTTTTGTGAATCCCACTACTGAAAAACTAAGTTCAACAATTCGAAGCTCTTTGGTTTGAAAAAATAATCATCAATTTTTTTTAAGCCTAGTTTTAAACTTTGAGTTTGCAAAAGTTTCACACTTACCCCTCTTCGATCCATTCAATTTCTGTTTTACTCTAAGTTGAAATGAAATGCATTTAAACAAAAAAAAAAAAATCCAAGGAGACTGAAAACTATTTATTATATATTTTTTTATTATGAGTGTAGTGGCACTGGTTTTAATATTCATTTTTAGATGATATATAAAGTAATTAACAAACTTCTTGGCAAACTAGTCAAAATTATATTAATGTTATCTAATCAATAACTCATTAATTATTGAAATTTTATAAAATGTCTGGAAATAATTAAATTAAAAATAAAGTTTTTTTTTTAAATAGCTTATTCTTCTTAAATAGGTTAATTTGGTAATTTTGGATTTTCAGATGGTTAAATTAGAACTATACGTAAAAACTCAAATTATTGATAATTATTAATTTAAAAAATTTACTTATATAGTGTTTATTCAAACTTCAAAACCACACAATAATCAATTATAAGTAATTGGAACCACAAACAATTTATTTGGGGTTTACAGTTATTATTGTTTTGCTACTAATGAACATTCTTTCACACTATTAATGGTTGAAGTTAGTGTTAATGTTAATGATTAAAAGTTAGTATCATTTGTCTTACTGTTATACAATAGAAAATGAGGAAATTAAAATATGTTAAGTCGTTATAAACTTATACGTTATTTCATTACATTTTATTATACATCCGAACTTAATTGTTATACTTGTGTTATAATTCTTAAAAGTTATTTAGAGTAATAAAAGTAAAAACAAATAATGAACTTATTACTTCACTTTGATTCATGTAATTATTGAGTGAATAGAATTCAACAATAAGGGAAGAGAGTAGCATGAAAATATCTAATAATTCAATAAGATTTATATAAAACAGATATTTTAGTTATACTAATATAACTGTCGAACAAGAAGGATATCTGATTGGTTATTCTGAAAAAATAAAAATTCTTTCTATTAGTAGAGGCATTTGAAACTTTATTTTATAAGTTTGATGGAACTTATTTTAGATTTGACTTCGTTTAGCTGAATTATTATAAAGGAAATTCGATGCACAGTTTATAAAAATATTTTTATTAAAATTTGCAAAATACAAGCAAAAGCTATTTTGTCGTATTTATGGAAAAACATTTATATT